AGGAGGAGGAGGAAAGAAAGAAAGAAAGAAAGAAAGAAAGAAAGAAAGAAAGAAAGAAAGAAAGAAAAAGAAAGAAGATTCAGAGCAACTAAGACATCTGACACTGACCTCTGGCATCCACACGAACACACATACATGTACACATGGTAAGGTCCCGTCACTCACCCAGCAGCTTCTGAAGCACCTGGCCATCGTAGAGGTCTTCTTCCAGCTGCTTCACGATGATGCGCTCCTCTGCCAGCACGTCGTTGATCCAGTCCAGAAGCACCTGGGGGAGGTGAGAGGCATATTTAGAGTTGCCAGAGAAAGCAGGGTCAGAGCAGGCTCACATGGGCAGCCGCCCAAACACAGGGGCTACCAGATACCTGCCTGGTGACTGTGGTGGACAACAGGTGCCTCTTGGTCCATGACCAGAGCAGGAGTGGAGAGCCAGACCTATGCATGGAGCTGGGACTTCCTAACAGTCCCCAACAGAGCCCTGGCAGAGCCCTGCAGGGGCCATGGGTAATGGGTAACACATGTCTCCCAGAAGAAGGGCTTATGGCTCCACTTGGGCACTGGGTGCTAAATGAGGAAGTGCTGAGAAGAGACAGGAAAGGGAGCCATGAAGCATCAACCCCTCTCCTAGCCTGCACTTCAGCAGCCCTGAGTCCAGAATCCCAGGCTAATGCAAGAGGTCCCAGCCTGGCTCTGCGGTCCCCTGCACTCTGTGGACTGTTCAGCCAATGGAGAATCCACCTGTGAATCCCCCAGGATCGCAAAGCTGTGTAGTGGTCACTTTAGAATGTTGTTCTGTCCCTGAACAGAAACCAGGCCTTCTCGGGCAGCTCTGCCCCTCTCCAGTACACAAACTCCTCCCTCATGCCTGTCTTCTCTCTTCTTAGCATGGTGTTCGAAGCCCATCCCTATCATAGCTCCTACCTCTCGCCCACGTCCGGCTGAACACCTTACCACGGCATGACACAAATGTATGTGCATCTTATTGGCAGTGTCACTTCCTGTCCATCACACTGCTGGGAACACTCATGGTTAAGTTTTTCTTTTCTATTTTTCTAGACCTACCTTCCCCAGAAGACTTTTCTTAACAGGTTTTACTACTCAACACATTAGGAGGGCACACTGTAGAAGCAAGCCACCTGCACTGTTAATTGTCTCTGGACAAGGACAGTACTTGTTCACCATTCCACCCAGAATAAAGCAGATACCCACCTAGGCTGCAGCCATGACACTCAGACTATGGCTTTTCCATGCCAGCAAAGTGAATTAAGCTATCTGATTGGACCCCTGAGACCCTGGGAAGTACAGGTCTGTGGCCACTCTCAGAAAGATCAAAGTGCACAAATCCAAAAGCACAGTGTCTTGTCACTCTCTAAAAAAAGCAGTGACCGAGAAATTGGTGACAAAGCCAAGTCCCCTCAAGTCCTGACCAGCTTCCAAGTGACCACAGGAGACTGAATCAGATTACTATTCACAGAGATCTCAGAGCTTGTGAGTCACAAGTATGTGGCTAGGGTGAAGGCCCCGCAGCCTTGCAGCTCTGTAGATATGTCCAAGTGCCTTCCAAGGGGCAGGGGAGAGTGGCCACCCTCTCCAGCTCTCTAGTTGATCAGGTCCCAGTCTGGCCTGTGTTCTCTGGCCACTGGGCTGTCCCCTCTGGGCAAAGAAAACTACAAGGCAGGGCCTGACTGGAGGAAACAGGTTGCAAGGGTCGGTCCTGGATGCCCACTTGTCCCCTGCCCGAGGGTCTAAGGTTTGTTCTCATACTGGGGACTGCAAACCACAGCAAGGATTTCCTCCATGGGGGAAAAAAAAAGCCCCAGCACAGTCTCAATTTCATAAGGAATGAAAACATGACAGTGTGCTGAGGTTGCTGAAACTGTTGTTCTGGCTGGACCTGTGTCAACTGGACACAGCCAGAATCCCCTGGGAAGAGGGATCTTGGCTGAGAAAATGCCTCCACTAGATTGGCCTGTGGGCAAGCCTGTGGTACATTTTCTTGATTAATGATTAATGTGGAAGGGCTGTTTGGGCTGTGCTGCCCCTGGGCAGGTGGTCCTGGGTGTAAAAAGAAAGCAAACTGAGTAAGCCAATGAGCAGCATTCTTCCATGACCTCCGCTTCAGTTCCTGCCTCCAAGTTCCTGCTGTGAGTCCCTACCCTGGCTTCCCTGGACACCGACTACAAGCTTTAAGTGTCTTTCCTTCTCAGGGTCAGGGTGTTCATCATAGCAACAGAAACCCCAAGACAATGGGTGTTAGGATAAATCTTTCTGCCATAAGCCACCTGAGCCCACCGCCACGTGTGAGCTTTACGCCAGCCGCTCGCCTGAGTTAGGGCCCAAATGAATACACAGAAACTTGTATTAGGTACAATGCTGCTTGGCCAATGACTAGGATTCTCATTTGCTAGGTCAGTCTTAATTTTCATAAACCTATATATTTTATAAGACTTATCGACGCCTTGCTGGCATCCTCCCTTGCTGGTGGATCACATCCTGCCGCTGGAGCAAGAGCGGAGGGGGAAAGGGACGCTTCCTGTTTCTCCTTCGCTTAAATATGAGTCTCCTTGCTATGTCACTTCCTGCCTGGATCACCACTTCTCTACTACATTTCCCAGAATCCTCTTTGACTCCTAGTCCCATCTAACTTGCTGTCTCATTGGCCAAACAGTATTTTATTTAACAATCAATAAGATAAACATACACAGAAGTACTTCCCCCATCAGGTAAGGGTGAGTGTTCTCTGACAGTCATCAAAAAGGGAGGAGAAGCTTGCATTTGCCCTGCTGTCCCACCTCCAGCTGCAAAAGCCACGGCTGCTGAGCCTTCATTTGTAGGGTCTCACCTGAGGTAAGAACACGAGTGAGTGTCCACAGCAGGTGCCACCCTGGCTGTGACAATGAAGAGAGATGCAGTGCAGTCCCTGCCTACAAGAGCAGTTACCTGCCATGGGTGTTATGATGGGAATGGTGCAGGCATGGAAGCCATACAGGGTGGACACAGAGCCCGCCCCACCCACATCTGCACAGCTTTTAGGAAGAGTTGGCCCCTCCACCCTAAGAGACAACACGAGAATGTTAGTTATTGGCCACCATCCTCACACCTCTATTGCTGTGTCTGTCTCAGGTCACTAGGCTCTTGTCACCCTGCGCATCTCAATGGTTGTTAGAACAAGCCAAGCACCTGCATACCACAGGACCTTTGCACCTGCTGTTGGGCAGTTGGTCATGACCTTCCCCTAGGTACTGATGCAGAGATCTGCTTAAGTGCCACCTCCCTGAAGGCCTTTCTGGAAACAGCAGAAGTGGGGTGAGACTTAGAGGCATCCCCCGGCACCTGGTCGCATGTTCACTTGGCCCTCATCATGCTTTCTCCCAGATACACTGTGAGCTTGGCAAGTGAGCTGTTCTGCTCAGCACTTATCCCCAGTGGCTAAGACAGGAGCAGATTCAAGGTCTCAAACGAACCAGAGAACTGCCTTGGGGAATTCACATCTAGAAAGGACTCTTGGCCCTAAAGCCTTTGCTTTCAGAGGCTTCCTTCCTCAAACACAATCCTGCAAGGAAATTGTGAAAGAATGCTTCTTCTATGAAAATCAAAAACTTAAAGAAGAAAAGCAAAACAAACAAAAAACCCCACATTTAGATCTCTGGCCTACTCAGAGCCCAAAGGCAGGAACAAAAGGCCAAAAGCTCAAAAATGAACTCTACACAATGGGCCAGGCTCTTGGGACCAGGGAGCAAAAAATCCTCCCCAGTGTCACTACCACCCCCCAGGAGGTGCAGTTGACTTGGGAACATCACCCATCACCCCATCATTCTGCTCCCGGTCATCCTTCTTATCTTCCATTTTACAAAAGAGCTTTTAAAGATAGCATCAGCCATTATTTTTAGGGACTCGTTCATCTGCAAGCCCCAAGTCCTGCGGGTGAATAAGGAGGACATATATTAATTACATCCTTACACGGCACTCGATCACGGCTAGCTCTATGAGCTTTCTCTAACCAGAATAAAAAATTACTTTCCCCTTAGTTCCTTCTGAATTATAATCAGGTCTGCAGCCTGTCTCCCCCAGAGCCATGACAGTTACATTTTAATCATTTCCAAACAGAGTCCTGGCTGTGTTGTCCCCTGGGGATGGAGATGCACCTTACTGAATTGGGCAGGAGTCAGTGGGGGCTGGGTGTGACAGAGCACCTCCATACAACCCGGGCACGAAAGGAAAAAACCCAGCTTCATGACAAAGGTAATCTCTGCACAGCAACTGAACCATGAGATATGAAATCTGCTCTGGAGGAAGATGTACCCCAGCATGAAGCGCCTGGCTACTCTGGCCAGTGTGCTTAGGAAGAGCTGTGTGGGTTTGTTGGGTTTTTCTTCCCAACTCCAAAATGCATCATTCCAACACCAACTCTCTAACCTCAGGTGTCTCTATTGTCAACGTGCTGTGACTCTCATGGCCCAGAGTCAGGCACTCCAGGTTAGGAGCTCAGTCATTGGCCATCAGTAAAAAGAACCACCCTCTAGGTCCCTTCCCTCCCAGAGATCACTTTTAGGTCCCCTTAGGATCATCCTCCATTGGAAGCAAACTGGGGGTCACCAAATGCCATCATTAGCAAGGACCCAAGTGTGACCAAGAGTGTGTGATGCAAGGGAGATCTTACACTCAGGCAGCTCTGAGGGTTTCGGAGCTCTGTGCCAGGCCCTGGGGACAAGGACCAAATGGGACACTGAGCACCAAGGTCTCTCCCTATAAGAAAAACACAAGACACTTTCTTGTGTTAAGAACAGTTAATGACACAAAGTATCTCAGCCATAAGCCTCCAACTCACTGGCCACCCACAGGTAATCGAAGTTGATTCCAGCAGACATCAGAGGAAATGGCCACAGGAAGAAACACCAGCAGAGGACACCAGGGTAAGTCTTTGAGGGTCCTGGACCCACAAATACACATCCATTTCTAAGGTGATGCCCAGATGGTCAGTGCACCCTCCCCACCAGACCTGGTCCCTCTCTGTGCCCATCATCAGATAATGAATGACCATGGGTCAAGGCACTCCACTTTCACGAGTTGGGATTGGACCTTCACCTCTTAATGGCCCAATAAGCACAACAGATGCTCAAAATAGTTTTTAATGATCAGCCTCATCCAATGTCTGCCCAGCCAGAGCCAGGGACTTCAGACAAAAGGCAGAGGGCAGCTCACAACATTGCAAAGATGACAATCCCAAAGTAGTAGGGGACAGCGAAGGCCATCAAGACAACAGAGGGACAGAGAGCAAAGAGGAAGAAACAGGACCAGCCAGGCATCCTCAGAAACTCAGCCCTGGTCCTGAGACTGGGAGAGGCTGTGAAGGACAGATAGTCACGATGACCATGTCAGCAGGACATGATGTCAGCCAGTCCAAGCTGTCCTCTGACCTGCTCAGGCCAACATACCAGATAGGTTTTAAGTGTAAAAATACCTGCACCGGGGAGGCAGGAGTGTGGTTCAGCAGTGGAGCAAGGTCCTGGGTGCCCTTCCCAGCTCTAGAGAAAAAAATAACACAAAGCCTATTTCTGGACAGCACCCCCACAGGGGACCACTAGAGGCTGGGTCACTGGTCTGCAGCACCGACGACGACGACGACGACGTTCTGAAACCCTGAGACTCACAGTGTCCTTGAGCACCGAGGTTCTGGAACCATCTGCATAGAGGTGCAATCACAAGCTCCCAGACCCTGCCCCTTCTCCCAGAGCCCATTCCCTAGATCCTGATCCCAAGTGGGTGTTCACCAGCTATCTGTGCCTGTCACCAACTGTGACCTTAAGGACAACAGCTTCCAGTGTGGTAGTTCTCAACCTTCCTAATTCTGTGACCCTTTAATACAGTCCTTCATGTTTGGTGACCCCAACCATAAAATTGTTTTGTTGCTACTTCATAATTGTAATTTTGCTGCTGTTATAAATCATAATATAAACATCTGATAGGCAGGATATCTGATATGCAACCCCTGTAAAAATGCTTTTCACAACCCCCAATGGGGCCATGAACCACAGGTTGCTAGCTGCTGTTCCAGTGGGTCCTGGTGTCCTTCTGGTGAATTATCAAGCCTAAGGTGTGCTGGGACCCCTGAGCTTGCCAGTGTGTCCTGGAGGAAACTGCCTCCTCTACACATGCACCCAGGGGGTCCCTGTTCAGCACGGTAGCAACAAAAACCCACAGAGTATGTGGAGCAGAGGGATGGAGGGAGGAGGCATAGAATTAACAGAGCAGACCCAAGGTGCCTCACTCTGTAGTGGTTCTGGGGACGAGCCAGGCACTAAGTCCAGTCCTAGCAGCAGCCCTGAGGCTGGTCATCCCACACTCACAACACAAGTGTGACAGTCAGGCCAGCTTCCAGGGCAGAAAAAGGAAATGTCCACAGTCCTCCAACACGAGCAAGCTCCAACCAAACCACGGCTTCCCTCACAGCCAGACAGACAGGGCTAGTCCACAGGAGCCAGCGTGCCTACCTTCCACATTTGTCTGTCTCAGAACCAACCATGCCTTGCCAAATTGTTTGACACTTTGTACAAACAACAACAGCTGATGAGCCCGCTAAGGCCCCAGGACTTCTCCCCTGTCCCTGGTGTTTACACTAGTTTTTGAAAGTTCTAGTTCAAGATAGGTCTGCTGTGAGACAAGATCTCAGGCTGGGGTGCCTCAAGTCCAGTCTCAGTATGAACAGCTGCAGGCCAATGGGATGGCTGTGGGAACAGGGCATTTCAAGGACACAGCCACTGCTGCCAGTGTAGAGTCACCCTGCCTGGCCCATGTAGATGGTCAGCTACAGTGGAGGTTTGCTTCCTGTGGCTGCTCTAGGGGCTTCCACAACTTGGTTGGCTTTCCATGAATCCTCTGACAGGCTGGAGACAAGAAGTCCAGATGGTGTTACTGAGCTGAGCTCAAGCGTCAGGAGAGGAGAGCTGGCTGGTCCGAAGGCTCTAAGAACCCTGCTTCCTGGCTTCTCCAGCTTCTAGATGCTCATACAGACCTGGGTACACGGCTTTTCTCCTTCCTCCAATTCAGTAGCTGGAACTTGGCTTTCCCCTTCCTTGACACCTCCATACACAGCCTAAGCCACTCAGCCCAGATGCAATGGTTAATCTTTCGTTTGTTTGGTTTGGATTTTTGCTTGTTTGTTTGGGGTTTGTTTTGTTCTGTTTTTCAAGACAGGGTTTCTCCATGTAGTCCTGGCTGTCCTGGAACTCAATATTTAGACCAGACTGGCCTCAAACTCAGATTCACCTACCTCTGCCTCCCAAGTGCTGGGATTAAAGGTGTGCCCTGACACTGCCCATCAAGATGGTTAATCTTAATTGTTAATTTGACACAATCCAGACTCAACTAAGAGGAGTGTCTACACTGGGTTGGCCTGTGGGTATGTCTGTGGGGGACTGTCTTAATTAAGCTAATTGATGTAGGAGGACCAAGCCCACTGTGAGCAGCACCAACCCCTAAACCTACAAGGTCTCAAATGAGCACAAGTAAGTATGCATGCATTCACTCTCCCTGCTCTTACTGTGGATGTGACTAGCTGCTTCAAGTCCTTGACACCTTGACATGCCCACAGTGATAGACTGTTAAGCCAGAACTGCAAACTAGATAAACTCCTCCTCCCCTACAGGCAAAAAAAAAAAAAAATCATCCTCAGCGAGGCAGTGGTAGCACACACCTTTAATCCCAACACTCAGAAGGCAGAGGCAGAGACAGGCAGATCTCTGAGTTCTAGGCCAGCCTGGTCTACAGAGTGAGTTCCAGGACAGCCAGGGCTGCACAGAGAAACCCTATCTTGAAACCACCACCACCACTGCCACCACCCACACACACAAAGACTCTCCCTCTTCGGGAGGCTATAACAGACATTTCCAGTTGATATTTCTAGAAGGCACAGCTGTCAAGCAACCCTGATACCCATGAATCAGCCCTTACGAAAACTCACTGGACTCTCTGCTGTGGCAAAGGTGGGAAGGCCAATAGAGAACAGTCTATTTCAGGACACTGTCACACACAGCATTCAAAGCACCTAGGTCACACAAACCAGGTCTGGGCCTCCAAGGCAGTACATCATCTGCCTGCCTGTGTCAGGTGGGTGGCCTGCAGGAGTCCTACTGTGGTTTAGATCTGAGCAATCAAAGTCTCAAGTTGCCCCTGGACAGGATCAGGCATGTGCTAGAGAAGGGCAGGCAGTTGTCCCTGGAAGTCACTGGGCCACAGCCCTACCTACCTGCTACTGCAACCTTTGAGAACAATGCCTTCTGCTTTCCCACCTAGCTGATATTCACACTACCACACATGCTCGGTGAGTGTTCTGGTTACATTCTGTTACCATGTTAAAACATTCTGACTAACGCAGCTGAGGGGAGGAAAGGGTTTATTGGCTTACACTCCCAGGTCAGTCCATCACTGAGGGAAGTCAGGGTAGACATTCACACAGGAGCCTGAAGCAGAAACCATGGAGGAACACTATTTGCTGGATCACTCACAGGCTCGTGCTTTGCTAGCTTTCTTATATAACCTAGGACTGCCTGCCAGGGAATGGTGACACCCACAGTGGGCTGTGCCCACTTATATCATTTAACAATCCAGAGGGTCTCTCACAGACATGCCACAGGCCAAGTCTGATCCATGCAAGGCCTCAATTGAGACTCCCTTTTCAGGTGACTCCAGGCTGTGTCAAGTTAACATTTAGAGCTAACTAGGACACCAAGACCCCTTTTCAGATGAGACCATGGTAAGGGAAGACAACAACCTGCTCCCCAAAACATCTTGAATCCAGACCCCTAAGAAGTATAACAACTGGACCTATATGCAGGGTGTATTGGTTCAAAACAGACCCTGCACAGCTCTTGTAAGCACCATGTGACAGCCCCACAAAGGCCTAGGGCTGCCCTAGCACATGGAACACCTAGAGGACCCATGTTCCGTCTCATTCCTCAGCCCACACTCCACTCCTCTGCATCCCTTTCTAATGTTGCCTAAGGGCTTTTCAGGAGCCTGGAGGCTCAGCTCCTCTGTGTCTACAGAAGCTCCGAGGCCCCAGAAGAAGGCCTGGAAGGCCTGGAGCCAACTGGGATGGTCCAATCACATCAAACTATATCTCACCTTGATCAGCTCCTTGAACTTTGGGTCCTCTCTGGAGGTGGGGTCAATCATGGTCCGCTCCTCATTCTCCTCTGCCAAAGACAGAAAGGGCCAGAGTGAATGGGGGAGGTAGGAGGTGGAGGGTTGACAGGGATGCCAGGCATGGACGACTCCCTACTCAGGGGGTGGAGGATCCCCTGCTTCCTCACTTGGGGCAGGAAGCTGGTGGAAAAGCAGACACCCATCATGTTCTCAGTGAGAACAGGTCACCAGCATTGTCAGCTACACACCAAGATCAGAAATAAAGCACGCAGGGCAGCAGGATGAAATGAAGCCAGACTCCATCTCCCAAGTCTTAGCTAGACTCCAAAGGCTCTAGCAACAAGTCTAAACCATGCTGGCATGGGGAGAGAAAAGACAGTGGGTGGCACCTGCAGTGGCCCGGGAAGTGCCCTGCCAGAACTAGATAGCTAAGAGAGTTTTGAGCACCAGTAGTTCCTGGATCCCTGTTCACCAGTCTACCAGAAGCTGTGTGGGGCCAGCACCATGAAAAACGTATGGGAACAGATGGGCAGGCAGCAAATATACAAAACAATATCTACAGGGAAGTATTAGAAATAGCAAAAACACGCAAAAGGATGATGCTTTGTGCATCTCCCCTGTGGGTTTTCCCTCCACGTTCTAGCCTGGATCTAACAGACAGCAAGAGGCCAGTGGAGTTCACAGGGGGAGAGGGACAGGAATAAAGACATGGGGCCAGAACAGAAAAGACCAGATCCCACAAATGCCAGGGTGTCATGGGTCCATTGACCACAGCAGGGAGCTGAGGAAAAGTCCAGCTTCCCAGGCCTGGATACACCAGCTACAACAATCTGCTGAGGTAGCGGTAACAGGCATGCCCTTCTGGCCAGGAGGGAACATCACAGACCAGTGGTCTCCGGTACCAGGCCATCTCTGGGTCATAGGTTGGGCCTCACCTGCTTCCTCCCTGAGGCTCTGACGGCCTCATCATGGAAAATCTGGATAGACAGGGATCTCCCTCTAAACCAAGGTTTAGAAATAAGCAGTGTCCCATACCTGTCTCCCACAGTGACTTGCTGCCAAAACACGAGGCCAAGAAAGGACACTTTGACTGACACACAATCACACACAGTGACTTGCTGCCAAAACACGAGGCCAAGAAAGGACACTTTGACTGCCACTCTATCACGACCTGCAAGGAGTCAGAGGCCTCCCCATTCCACAGTTCCCACACAGCCAGGTCCTAGCCCAGCACAGCTCTTCAAAGCAGCCATGGAGATATGTAGGGCATCTGGAATGTGTACCTAGTTTCTGAATTTCTTCATGCTTTGAGACCTTGGGGCCCGCTCATCCCAGGGAGACTGTCCTCCAGGGCTGGTTGTCCCCTAGCCTCCTCTTCTAGGGACTCATGGGGTTCCACACCCTGAGCCAACACTCTCTACCTTATCTTCTATCATCCCCTAGGCCAGCTATCAGCTAACTCAAGTCAGTAACTTGTGCCTGGAGTTAAACCATCCAGTCCTCTACTCAAAAAACAAGCCAATTCCTCCTCTCTCTCTCTCCTCCACTGCTTGCCCAGTCCTACTTGGCCCTACTTGGCCACCCCATGGCTCTGTGACCATAACAAGCCATGTCCCCAATGCCAGGCATCTACCCCTGGATGCCAATGAAATCTGCACTTGAAGATGGGAGCAGAAGCCGGCTAGAGACATCTCTGAATAAGATGTGGGTTCTCAAACACCAACCACCCATTTGGGGTCCTACACCAGGAATGGACAACAAAGAAAGCCAAGTGGCCACAGTACCTAGCTGGGTATCTTCAGGGTGGATGTCCACCGAAGCCGGGGCCATTGGGGAATTGATGGCACTCTTGCCTTCTTCTTGCAAGTCAGTCACTGTTGAAAAGAGAGACCCAGTCATTATACAGAGAGCCCAAAGGAAAGTACCATGCTTCCAACATGTGGTCGCTCCCATGCACATCCCTTCATGGTGGGTGGTCCAGAGAATCAGAGGGAAGCACTCCCAGCCCAGAACACATGCTGTTGTGCTTTGCATCAAGCAATTCTTAATTCCTTCCAAGCCCCTTTGGAATGTGTGATTGAGACATGGAAGTTTCTGGCTGCTACTAGTGGCTTCCAGACCTGCTGAGGCTGCTGTGGTAAACAAGGCTTAGACCCCCCCAACAAAGGCAGAGAACATAGATGGAGATGCCTTACGTCTCAGGCAGAGCTGTATCTGGGGTTGTAGACTCGAGGTGTGAATAGGCCTGCTTTCACACACAGGTGATCAGAATTAAGTGTACCACATCCTTTGGGATGGAAGTCTGATGGAGGTGTAGTGAACTCTTACATTTTGTGCTCTCCTTGCATCTATTTTTAAACAGGTTAGAGTCTCAGACCAGAAGCCGGCTCAGCCTAGACATATGCCTTCTTCCTGCTGGGCATAACCCTTCCAGATCTCTGCTCTGGGAACAGTTAACCTCCAAGAGGGCATCCACATGCAGCCAGCCTGGATGTCCCCTCTTACCTCACTTCCTGTGTGGACTAAGCAGAGAGTCATGACAACCAGCCCTCACATGCTGGTACTTGGGCTTGCAGGGAAATCTGCTTGGATGATGTCCTGAACCCAGCAAGGCAAGGTCCATGGCCCTCTTTCTCCCCACATGCTCCACTAATTCTGCAGATGTACACGTGTACTCCGGGTGGTAAGTCGCTAAATCTCTATTACCATCTCTATCTCTCCTGGCCCCTGGAGGGACATGTTTCCTCTGAAGATCTTAACTCTCTAGAGAAGGTAACAGGATCAGGATCAAGGCCAGGAGGAAAAACAACAGACTCTAAGGAAGTGAGCGAGAAAATTTTGCTTCTCAAACACCAACCACCCATTTGGGGTCCTACACCAGGAATGGACAACAAAGAAAGCCAAGTGGCCACAGTACCTAGCTGGGTATCTTCAGGGTGGATGTCCACCGAAGCCGGGGCCATTGGGGAATTGATGGCACTCTTGCCTTCTTCTTGCAAGTCAGTCACTGTTGAAAAGAGAGACCCAGTCATTATACAGAGAGCCCAAAGGAAAGTACCATGCTTCCAACATGTCGCTTTTTGGGATGGAAGTCTGATGGAGGTGTAGTGAACTCTTACATTTTGTGCTATCCTTGCATCTATTTTTAATCAGGTTAGAGTCTCAGACCAGAAGCCGGCTCAGCTTAGACATATGCCTTCTTCCTGCTGGGCATAACCCTTCCAGATCTCTGCT